CATATTCGTAGGCGCACTACACCGCTACATAGGGGCGAAGACTCCATCAAAATGCCTCCGAACAGGAATCTCCATGGGTAGCGCAACAACAAGAAAAAGCTGAACGTCAAGCTCTGACTTCTCTCAACTTTTAATGTAATATTCTACAGAGAGAACAGATTCTCGATTGTCACGAAAAAAAGAATTCTCCACTACATAGCTGCCGGAGCCTTGTGCGAGTATCTCAAAAATAGTACTCAAAGCATGACAATCTGAATCTCAGAGGAACTGCTCTTTGAATCTCTACAGGTGTGGCCATGTACGCTCGACTAGTCCACAACATCGACGGGAAAACATTCAGCCGTCAGCCGTACGGACAGCCTGGAGAGGTAAAAGCCGATTTTCTTCACTTCCAAACTCAGAATAACGTCCTTTCAAAGAGCATTTCTGACTGTCTTGACTACCTATATTAGTTTCATTCGAAAAAGATTGCTTCACACTTTCAGCATATCGTCTCGATCAATCGGAGGCACTTGAACGAAGTGCTTATAAGTCAAGCAGAAAGCAATGAAAAAGTGAAGTAAGATGATTGTGAATAATTTGCAAAATTTCTTACCCACATATGCCCGGAACTCGAGTTAGCTATAAAATAGATTTGGACACGGACAGAAGCAATTTTCACATACGAAATCATGAAATTGCAAATACAATATTGAACTCAAATCGTACGTACCCTTTGAGAAGATCTCATACGAGCTTGAATAATTTTAGATTCTTCTTCGAACACAAGGTGCGAGCGGTAGATGTGGACAAGAAAGAAATGACTGTGACCTTGTAAGCAATTTTATTTCTAATGACCACTTAAAAAATTCTTCGGCAGTACCAATCACCCGTCACGGCGCCCCGTTCTACGCCATTGCCCTGACAGGCACCTCTTACCGGTAGACCTAAAACGAGGATGGAGTTTGAATTTCATCGGTTGATAATCGAGAAGAAGTAGTATGGTGCACTTTACAGGACGGTTGTAGGAACTTCGCCGCCACGCCACCGTCCACTTCTCAGTCAGGTGATGGACCGAGAATAAGGTCTGTCTAGATCAACATCCTAGTTTTGAGTCACTGAAAGCAGCAATGAAGCCTTGGAAGTGATTGACCAGGAATACTTGCGTGAAACGTGCGTGAAGACCAAGAAGCGAGTTGAACTTGCATTCCTAGCAGAGAAGTGGCAGCGGGGAGGGGGCATTTTTAGCTCTGGATGCTGTGCACACTAGTGTACAGGTGTAGTGGATTACACATAGGTCACCTTAGCATTATCCTTTTGGAAGCTTATTGCTGTGTAATAGGCACCATAACCTGTTTTTTTGTGGGACAATCTTTTATTTACTGTGCTTCATCTACGATTGCTTGGTTCTTTTCGTTTATTCCGGGGTTCTTGTTCAAGCCGCGCGACTCGTGGCCGGGTGGTTGGTGCACCGGACCCCTTACAGAGGGCATAAACTATATGTACATTTAGCATTGGTGGTTCGAAGATACCTAAGCCGGGACAGTCTGCAAGCAGGTGAGAAGGCATATTTGGAAAATTCAATTTCATTCAGCTTATTTTGAAGGTTTCCAGCATGAAAGGAACCGATATCACCGTGAAGGCTGACTTGGTTGTCGCTTGCGATGGAGCATATTCAGCTGTGAGGCGATGTCTCACTACTCAGCCAAGGCGAGTGATTTCTAGAGAGGGGTAGAAAAATATCTCACATGGTACATAGATTGTAGCTTCATGGCATGGAGCTGTCTCGACGACATGTAAAAATGCGAGAAAAGCGGGGAAAATTGCCTGTGGGGAAAGCAGGTCAACTTCATGGGTTCAGGCGCTAACTCATTATAAGGAATCTTGCGCGGAAAAATCATGATTCTATTTCAGCCATAAATCACTGGCTTGAGACTCATTATCCACGATAATAGTGAAAAGAACTGAAGTATTGCTTTTGTTTGTTTTTGATTGTTAACTGCTGTTTTTGGCCGCAGTTCGCCTTGCGAATGTTTCACAAGAATGCTGGGTTGTGTCTGGGGCGAAAGTTTTGTTCACACCAAGCATTCTTGTGAAATGCTTTTGTTTTGGTAAAAAATTCGAAAAATCGAAAGGGCTGCTACGCGTTCAAAGTACCCACGGACGTCTTTCACAAATGCTGGCGACGGGGATGCTTCCACTTGGTTCTTGGAGTGCCTTCACTAGAAACTCTTTCTGGCCTTCTGCTTATTGCATTCACATCTCACACTTCTACTCCATCCTATTCTATCGATCGATTTGTCTCTACTCTCCGAAATCGCGCGCTTTAACCCGATTCGTCGCCTGATACGTAGCCGGCCAAAGGCCAACTTCTTTCCATGCCTCGCCTTTGGCTCCGCCCGAATTACCTTCGATTGTCCATAGTGTAGTTTTTGTACGTTTGTTTCTCTTCGGAAACCGAATCTTCATGCGTGAAACTTTGTGTGCTGTTTCCAGTGATCACAACTGACACATTCATGTTAAGAAAGAATGCAAGAATTTTCCGCGAAGGATTCCTTTAAGTAGCCCTCCCACACACTTTTCTCTTTCCAACTTTGAGTAGCTCGATTTTCTTATTTACTCCATTTTGCACAGGAATTGTGCTGAACACTCTATGATAGTACTTTGTAACAAATATTATCATTACTATTCAAAATTTGATCGTTGTAATTAACAAAGAAGCTTTCTCCTATTTTCATGCTGATACTTCAGATTTGACTACTTCACAAGAGTACATCGGACATGGCTACATCGAGTTGAATATTCTGCCAAAAAATGGTGATGTACGTGATAGTTCTAGAGCTTGTTTGAAACTGATCAGGCAGATCCTCAATATAGTTTGGATTTCAGTATGCACTCGAGCCAAATGTGTTCCATGTATGGC